AATAGAGAAAAGGGCTTGATAATCTATAAGATGAAGGGGCAACCCATGCAAAGTAACCCAGACAGGAAAAATAGGGCAGTCTGTAGAACTTTTGTAGTTTCTTGTCCATTTAAAAACATAGAAATGGTATTTATCAACATACCAGTATCTCCTTTGAATAAGTCTTATATAGTCCTTTTCTTCTTTGAAGGTAAAGAGAATATCTCTTTCTGAGATTCTCCTAATCCTGAAGTACAGGAAGCCCACTTTAAGCAAGAAATCTTTTAGCATTGAGAGGGGAATGTATCCTTTGAATCTCCCAATTGCAGAAAAGTGCATTTTGGCCTCCAGTGTTTCTTCATCAGCGCTGGAGAAGCTCACAGATGGTGCTCCTTTGTAGAATCCTTCAACTTTCCCAACCTTTGAAGAGTTTGATGCTGCCAAAAGATCTGAAAAGTATTTTGTGAAGTGTGGACGTTTAGAAACAGATGGTTTTTGTAATGTGGATTGAAAATTTTCCGTGGCCTGAGACTTTTCCGGCCAGGACGCCGGAATTCTCTGCCTTCTCTCTAAAACCATTTTATCCATATATATATATATATATATATATATATATATATATATATATATATATATATATATATATATATATATATATAGACACACACACACACACGTATACGGTAATATATAAATATAAAACAAATAAATAATATTTAGTGCAACATATTTTGACAAACTTAATTATCATATAATTAAAATGTCAAACATACATATATTTTACAATATTGTGTCACATGCAATATGTACAATATATTTTACTGAATATTTCCTTTACTCCTTTAACAGTATTCTACACCATCAAATGTTCTATGTGTGTGACCCTCTTCTAGGTTACCCATAACGTTGGCCATAATATTAGAATACTACAAGTGACAAGCAGTATCTAGCAACACATTGTCACCCCGAAGTTATGTATATAAAGCTCTTGAAGAAATTCCTTCAACGACACATTTCATTTAATAACTATTATCCCTTTATCACTAATATCTAGATTTAACACAAGGTATGGGATGTGTCACCTTGTTAAAGTTAAACCGAAGGTTTACTGATTATCTCGATTGACTTGTGGGATTCAGATAACATTATCAGTGGGCCCGTAGATATTATGCTTCAATAAAGGAAGGGATAAATCCTGTCTACGTCATTCACATCCTTGCTTAAGTTTTACTACATACCCAAGACATAATTATACAGCCACTAATATTTCAAATGGCACTAATTATATCTCAAAGCATGCAGCTATACTTACCAAGAATCGTAATGACTTCAAGTCCAAGATAGTTATAAATGATCGTATGAAAATACTATTAACACATTTTAAGGTATACTCATATGGTATTTTCATGGCGGGTCAATCCAGCAATATATCCAATATATTTGCCTACGTATAGATTCAGATAACACCTTATCTACAGCCTATGAGACACAGCTATCTCATCTCACACGTATTAGTCTTAATATATTATGACTTCCGTATTATCATAATATTCGACTAAGGATATTTTAGATCTAGTCTCTATATTTGTAACAGTCTCACAATCAGAACATCGTAGTCCTCATCTATGTTATTAGAGCACTAGTATATGGATTGAAACTATGTTTAAAGTACAAGAGATTATTTAAACATTCTTCAAAGCCTTTATTCTTGAAATAATTCAGATACAAATCATAAGTTGGCCTCTAGGGCTTAAATATATTCAACATGTTTTCCCTTTCAAAATTGAGGCGAAAGGTACTCCTTCTGGAGGGAACCTCAAAGTATGCCCACATCAAGGGCTTTAAAGCATGCTCACTTGCTCGTTTCCACCATTCGTATGCTCCTTTTAGAGCAACTGGACAGCTAGATCAGGGTGATCAGCCTCTGGGACCTTATGATCCTTCAGCACCCTCGTTGCCTGGTCTAAGCAATCGAAGGTAATTTGTGGCTCAGCAATCTGGTCACCAAGAATCTCCTCGGAGCCATTATCATATAAAATCTTCAGTATAATGCCTGCTCTATCGGAGCCATTATCATATAAAATCTGCTCTATCATGAAGATCGATAACACAGGGTCTAGCTGACCTCAAACTTTCTGGTTGTTTCCCTCATTCTGGGAACATGCTATTGTCATACAAATCATACAAGGAGAAATCTTATTACCTTCATGGGGTAAATGAGTAGCCATAGATGTGGGTACAACTTGTTTTTGGAAAACATTGATTTTGATTCGAAGTTCGATTTTAAAACCATGTGCTCCGATACCAAACTGTAACACCCAAACCCGCATAACCCGAATACATGGGTTAGCGAACCAGATTGCTACTAATCTGGTATCCAAACACACAATATTTTGAAAATGATTCAAAACATCCAAATAGTTCCTTTAAATTAAATTTACCATCATCGGAGTAAAAATCCAAATAGTGCGTAAGCTTAATTTATTAAAACACACAACTTGGGACTCATGCCCAAAAACATAATAAGTTATTCAAAAATAGTAATTATTTCCAAATCTTCAATCAAGTCAACCCACATCTTTTCCTCCTCATTTCCCTCCAGGGTCAGCTCTAGGTTCATCATGTCTTTGACTATTTACGTGTAGCAAACAATAAACTACGTACATGCTGAGGAATGACGCTGAGTGAGAAATATCTAACGTCAAAGTAAACAAATAAGAAAATCCACAATTCATAATAGTCATGTGACATCATGCAATCAACACATACATCACACAACAAGTAATCAAATAATTTACCTGGCACTTGCCCATTTCCATTCCCAACAAACTAGTGGATTCTTCGAGGTTGGTGGATCACCAAGAACCTGTTCCTATAATCTATTCTAAACTAAGGACTACTACTTTATTTTGGAGTCATGATTGTTCCCACTAGATCAGTGGCTCATGATCAACTAACAAAGGTGTTCCCCGTTGGGTGGGTGGAATCCCCACCTGATGGTTCACCATGGAGTTCAAGGATACCCGTACGTATGGTTTTACCTGGTTAGCCATTGGACCCAGCAGGCTCAACAATGCTTATCTCTAATGTCCTAACTCTAAGTAATTCATAGAATTCTTCTAAGTAGACTTACCTCATTCATAGTGTTGGATCAAGACCACATAACTTGTACTTTAGCATGCTGGATTTGACCGCTCTTACCGTTGAGGTCAAAGTTAGAAACAGATCATAACATAACATATGTGTTAGATCAACACAGAACAATCACAATCATAACAAACAGCGGCCTAGCATTGGGTATTGGTACCCAAGCTTACCATCATGCAACACACATGGTCTCGGACTCCATCCTAAACATTTAATAGATTCAAGAGCAAAAGATGACAGTTAGGCAATGCCTGTCACGGTACCAGTATATCAGCAAATGGTACCAAGGTACCGCCACCCAGTACTGGAATCCCGTGAGGAACAACGACCGACAACACCAAACGAACTTCGGTGATAGCTGGCTACCATCAGTCTGATAGTGGATACCGATTGGAAGCAGTGAACGGAAGAGCGGAATAAACTATGGCGGTATCTTGATACTGGAACGCAGTACTAACCTACCATCTGCAACTGCAACCTGATACAACATGATTTTTCCAGCGTCCGACGCAGTTTCTGAGTCCTGAATTCAATCTTATCCACATACAATAACATATGATTCATATATCACATACAACATATCCAATAGTCTTTCTGCGCCTAAAATCATGCTTCTGCCCGTTTGATCTTATTAAACGACCCAATTCCCTCAACATGTGATTCGTACAAGTTTCATGCAATTCAATCAACATAATTGTAACACCCTAAACATACCCTAATATTTATTGAATTAAATATTCAATTAAACAAATTTGTTTTGATTAAAAGTAAATTGTTGTTGGGCTTTGGCCAAAATAAAATATGTTCGGATATCCAATACCATAATCCGGATAAATTTCATAAAGATAAATCTAATATGTTGACTTACTATGTGATCTTAATTTGGGAACCAAAGTATAGACCCAAATTAGGAATAAATGAAAGATTTTTTTATGATGTAATGATTTATTGAAATAAATCATAAAAATAAGTTATATGAATTAAATGTGAGAACCTTTTTGAATAAAGGTCAACTAAATCAATTTTGACCCTGTCAAAGTCAAACAACCAAACATATGGTGTCTGAAAAAGTATACCAAATAAACATAAAAACTATATAGTTGGGTAGAGTTCGACTGTCTAATCGCAACGATGCAAACGGATTTCAATTCGGAGAAAGTTGGACCAAGAAGTGTACCCCGATTGGGACCAAAATTAGTCACAATCAGGGACTTGTGTTTAAAACTCGTAGAAATCAGCCTCCTTCTCCACTCAGCCGCTCAAACAGGGAAGGTGACGCTGAATTCTTCACCATCTTCCTCCAAGCTCCTCTATATATAAGACCCCTCTCATTCCTTCAATTCCTCACCATTTTTCACAAACCTTATATCTATTCTGTTGCTGGGAGTAAGGAGAACGCAGTGGTCCTGTCAATTTGGTGTGAGGTCGTCGGAGTTGAGAGCTATTATTGCCAGAAGTTTCGCCGGAAAATCTTCAAAACCTCCATTAAGCTTTGAGGTAAGCCCGTAGATATATCTAGTGACTAGAATGTTCGTATAGATCGTTTCTACGTTCATAAACGGTCGTTTGGTTGAGTTTTGAGTTTGACATATTTGAAGAACCAAGAATCATAAACCATGGAATTGATTGTAAAACTATGAATTAATGATGCCAAAATGATCTATGAACCTTGGAGAACATCTCTATATAGTTTCGTTGATGTTCGGTGACAAAAAATGGTATTTCCGAAATTGGACCAGTAACGAAGAAGAAGATGAACAGTGGCTAAAAAACCATTGTCTGGATCGATCCAATCGCCTGGATCGATCCTCTGGGAGTTTTTCTTCTAGTTTAGATTGATCTAGAGGGCTGGATCGATCCCCCAAAAATCTAATCAGAAAATTTGTCTGAAAATGCTATTTTGAGCTCTAAAATCCTATTTTTGATACCAATCAATTATGATTAATATAAAGATAATTTCTTGGAATAAAAATAATGTTTTGACAATTAAAAAAAAGTTATGTGATGCATGACGGTAAGTTAGGGTGTTAACACCCGAAGCTAGGCCACTAATTGTTATTGAATGTTATGTTGATTGATGATTATGGTAATGATTATTGATTGCTGATTATGATGATTAAACCTTGATGAATATTCTGATTAAAACTGATAATTATGAATGATTAAATCATAATGAATATATTGATGATTGTGAAAATAATATGTATTGTTAAGGGTATCTAGAATAACTCTAAGATATACCCATAGTAATGTTGACTTTGAAAGGTATCTAGAAGACTTCTAAGATATACCCATTTAAGTTAGGCCTTGCGGGTATGATACCCGGTGACCAGGGTTAAAACGTACGCACAGGATCCAAGAACCAAACTTGAGTACCTACTCGTTTGGGGGTACCACCCACCCAACAGTGAACACTATGCTGTCGGTTTCTGGTTGGTCTTAAGTGAAGGTAAGTTTAATATTTTGAATACCTTTTTATCATAAACTAGGCCTAGCTTAAGGATTATTTAGGAATACTTTATGCTGGAATATAGTTTAATTATTTAAACTAGAATTTGTTTAAAGGTTGACAAATATTATAGTGATTGGCCTTAGACTAAGAATAGTTTAAGAATATTGTTGAATGTTGAATATTGAATATGAATAAATATTGAATGATGAATATTGAATTGAATATTGTAATTATTATTATGAATGATGGGTAAATGTTGAATGCTGAATATTGAATTATGAATATTGAACACTGATTGTTGAACATCAGAACTGAACATTACGTGCATGATATCAAATGATTTGATCATGAATTGAGATTCAATTTATATGGATGTTCGACGCGTTAGATATGCTTACTCAGGTTTACCGCTGAGCGTGTAGTGTGTTTTATTTGATACACGCAGGTTAATAGAAAGAATGATGTGACGTGATATTGGAGGCATACAGAGGCGAGATAGTTGGGATGGATGTGACAAATCTTGAATTAATTTATTGTAATATGACAACATTTAAATTCGCTTCCGCAATATTGTTGAATACTCCGTACTATTATGTTATGAAAAATATTATTGTGATAAATAAAAGTGTTGAAAAGTTTTAAATTTTTACGATTACCAAGTTAATACTTTAGTCCGAAAGGGGCTGCAGACCTCGACCGATTAGGGTGTTACAATAATAATACGAATGTAGATTTAAACACCTCGAAATGACGAAAGACTACAACTCTCTCTCTTTCCTTTTCCCCTTCTCTTGGACGGACAACGGCATCGGCCCAAGGAGGAGGTCTGGCCGGCTAAGAGAAGAAGAAGAGGAAGATAGAAAAAAGTCCATATGTGAATGTTCGTGAGATGTTACCACCATTTGTATCATCTTCATCTAGCAACCATTCGTTCTAAAGTTGCCCCTCTAGCATTAGAATTCATAGTTAAATTTGATATAGTTAAATCCATAAGCTTTTTTTTCATAATCTATGTTGTAATCCGAACTCATTTGTTATTCAATACAATTTATGAATCCATGAAAATTGTTATAAATTATATAGGAACCTTAGGAAATATATGCTTTAGTATCCATGTTCATAACTCAATGAAAATAAGACAAAAAGGTAGTAAAAAGAACGTTGGAACGTACCACTGCTCATCGTTGCCATCGTGACGGTCGACCATCGTCAAGGACGGTCGATCATGCACGGTGTATGAGCAACTGCCACGGTCGACCGTCCGTAGGGACAGTAGACCATTCGACTCTTACGCGGTTCACCACCCCAACCGTCCGGGCCAGGGTACGGCAGTCCAAGGAATGGTCAACCGCAGGAGTCAGTCTTAACTGTAGGGACCATATAATCGACCGCCGGTAGGAACGGTCGACCGTCACGATACCAGAAACTAGACAGGAACTTGTTTTTGAACCTAAATGATTAATTAGCATGTTTCTTGAGATTAAAAAGTGTATGCTTATTATAATGATATATTCTTGGTTATTCCAAAAGGTTTGTATATTCATTTATATCGCCACGAATGTCATAGAAGCATGGCATAGGAATCATTCACATCATGGAATATTACTTAAGAGGTCAGGCCTAGTGTGCCTCTTAGGTATCATTCAGGGGCTTTGAGTACGTACATGGTATTCAGGTTCTCGGATACCACCCGCAATATTCTTGTCTCATTATGACACGAAGGTTTTCCCGAATCATTACTCTCGTGGAGTGATTTCGGAGCCCAATGGGTCCTTGCACGGCTAACTCATACATCATGATATCATATGGTCCTTTAGATAAATCGTTTGTGTTACACGTAAGTTAAGTACATGTATGATTATGTTTGTATCTATATGGTTTACCACTACGTATTCTTTTGTTAGAATTTACCACTCAGCTTATGTTGAGTGTATAGTATTGTCTTTGCTATTCGTAGGTAGGAACGATGAACTTAGAGCCTATCTCGGAGGTCAATGAGAGTCAGGAGATGTACGGGCGGTGGACGTGGACTATTGTTCTCTTTTGTTTTCCTTAACTCCTTTTCGGGCATGAACCCACCTTTGTCGCATTTACTTTTATGGACTCAACTTTATTAGCTTTCGCAATGGACTATTTTACTTTACTCCGTATGTTTTGTGGGAATATTTTTCCCAACTGTTTTTATTTAAATTAAACTTGACAAAGGAAAGTTTATTTTTCTTAAATGGATGGTTCTTATTTCCATCTATGTAA